GACGCCACCTCTATTTCCGTCCACGCGATGTTAGAACCGCTGGAGCTCTTCTGATGAGTATGGCCAAGAAGCTTTGCCTCTTGGAATGGCTCAAAATTGGCTTTACTGACCAAAAATGTCGACCTCGCAGAGACCCGGCCAACCGGACGATCTGTTGTGTTCCAAGAATCAGCTTATTCACGAGAGTGGAATCGGTAGCTATCATTGGCCGCTCCCCCCAGCAACATTGCTTTCTCAGAAGAACTCAAATCTTGGAGCATAAGTTCCACTTTTAGTAGTTCCTCAAAACAGTGCGAGTGGTGCGATGCATGTCCCAGACCATGACACCCATCTTTCAAACGCTCAAGCCAATTTTCAAGCGGTTCCTAATTGAGGCCCTTTCTCGACCATGCAATTCACAAATGAGCTTCTGTGGCTTTAGCACCTCGATTAAACGCAAGGAGGATGTGTCGAAAATGCTCATTTTTCGTGAAAGTATAAAGCTGAAAATAGCACCGAAATTATCGGAATTTCACTCCTGATAAACGTTTGGCATATTACTTTATAATGAACAAAATCCTCTATCGAAAAATCTTGAAGCGCCTCACCAAACTCCTTCGTGCAATTTTTCAGCCTGATACTTCCACAAGAATGAGCATTTTATTCGGGTTAAAAAAGCGTCATCACCTATGAGTCACCCAGTATTTCAGCACATATTTCAAGCCGGAAATTTAACGTGAAGATGGCAAAAACCTCCGATTGTTACCGACAGTTATCAGCTCGTATATATGGTTATCAAATTCTACCATCCAACGTAAACAGTCTCATCCAAGCTCTGTCGCAAGCAAAGGATGAAGTCCCTCATTTTGAGTAGTACATGTTGGACTGTCTCAAAAATGCTGTACTGCGAGAGGACAGGACATTCGTAATCTTCGCCGCCGTTGGGAACCGCGCCGCTTGCAGTGATGAACGGCAAATTCTTGACGTGTGCTAGTTCCACGACTGGAGCAGCGAAATTCATGCCTACTCGAGGCAGGCAAGACAACTCGTCCCGCAAGTGCGAGTCGCTGTCCACGCCCACCAGTGCGGTACATCGCGATTCTACTGCAGCCACACGTCCAGTTCTTGGAAAGAAATTTTGCAAAATACGATCCTCCCTTGAAATTTCCTTCACTTGTATTCCCCTCTTGTCTATCCCCCACACCACCCACCATCTTCCCAAAATTCTCAGTTTTTACCAGCTTTTTTCCTCGTTTCCCAGGGAACTTGTCCGCCGAGGTCTTCGCTACAATTATTCTCGCTCCTCTACTAAACCAGGGTTGACCGTTAGATTTCTCAGAAGCCAGTTTGAGAATCTGTTCTCTATAGGTTTCTCTTAGAAGCTATCAAAAAATCGAGAACATGTAGAAAAGTAAGAAAGGAAGTCTTTCAGTACTGACAGGATTGGATGAACTAAACCCATTTGCTTGTGCGAAACTACAGTAGGCAAGGGATTTCCAGATTTCTGATCTTGGTCCACGAAACAAATATCAGAGCTAAAGCTGGCTTGAGTACGGTACAAGTAAAGACAACACAATAACAGCTAATAGTAGACCATAGGTAATTAATAGCTTTATCACACTTCATAACATAGTACAACAATGGTCAGAATCGTTTCGGTTTTCTTAGGTCTTCATCATACCTCGTTAAGTTCGCCATATTAAGTCATTAAACATTCTTCACATTAAGTCAGTTAAAACATCTTCTTGGCACTTCGAAAGAAGTAGGAAGATAAGATAAACTAGTTACTTAAACCTAATTTACTGCGAGCTATGTTGTCGCTAACTTTGATCTTCCTGGTTGTAAAGCTGACGAATTGTTCTGTTCATGCCAACTTCCACAGCAGCGTCAATCGGATGGATGATGAAAGGGATAGCTGAGAGACCGATCGCAGTCACAACCCATTTCCGAACTGGAGGCGACCATCGACTCACCCTGAAACGACAATTCAAGAGCAATTAAAGTTTGCACAAAGCTGCCCATCATTGTTTCTCTAAATGGTATTTCATAGCAACAGCTGAATATCGGGATTAATATCTGGTAGATACTCATGGGTTACCAATGCGAAAGGACTTTTTCAGGCAGTAGACAGCCTGTAAAGCCGTACAACTTATAATGCAGTCCTGTTCGCTGCGGATGCTGGAGCGTGTCGAAGGCTGGGTTCGGCGAGGCACCTGCTAGTTCTCCACCAACTGCGGAATCCGGCAAACGACC